GTGACTTCTACAGTTTGAGCCACGTGTATGAAACATACCAAGGACTTGATTAAAAACGACTGTTCAAGTGTTTAATATACAGGGTGTAAATGTTATGATAGTCATTATTTAAATGGGTGATAGAGGGTGTTAAAAGAAGCAAAAAGTTTCATATAACATGGGGGTCAAAACGGCATTTTTTTAGAGAAAAGCGACTTTAAAGTAAAATAAAATCTGACAACGCCGCAATGCCAGACGCAAATTACGACGGAACGCAGTGTAAATAAAAATGTTATTTGTGTTATTTTTGGCTCTTAGGTATTATTTAATTATTCGAGAATGTAGTCGTAAAATGCAAACAATTAAAACGGCACTAACTGTCTCAGCGCTTCACCTGGTGGCTTTGTATTTAAAGAAGGTGTTCAAAATGTCGTCCTCCACTTTCTACACAAGCTTCATTACGACCTCCACGAATGGTATGAGAATTTTCTTGAGCCCACGTGTGAGTATTATGGAAATTTAATATCCCGTCTCATGTAAAAGTACATTCGTCCGTCGCTAGAGTGTTTTTAAAAAAATCCGGATTTTCAATGTTTTTGTGCAAAAACCACTGACAGAATGTTAGTCTGCGAGGATAATCTTCGGGTAACAAGGCCTGCACTCGTTGTACATGGTAGGGATAAAGCAAATTTTCCCGTAAGATTCCATGGACTATGGGTATGCGATAGTCCTACGCGGTGGCCTAATTCTCGAGTGCTGATATCTGCATTGATTTCCAGGATATTTAAAATTTGTTCCTCCTGCTCTACAGTGACCTATAATTCAAGAATACGAATATTAGTGGGCTGAACACGCCCTGTATCTCGAAGTCTTTGGTACACTTGCACAAATGTCCTTCTGTCAGGGTGTACCCGTTGGCGAAATCTGTCGCGATAAATTTGAGCTGCAAGATTTGAATTCTGACGAGCCTCACCGTAAACTAACATGTCGGCGAACTCTTGATTCGAGAATATTGTAAATCAAAACAACGACGTACGCGAACAAAAAAAACAATATACTAACCACTGTTACCGTTTGCGATCGATTGCCGGTTCGATAAGAGTGATGATGACCGACGCGCTGTTGTCATGTGTGTTTTAAATATTCAATTTAATGAAACTTACTTACTTACTGACTACAAATTTTGGCTTAACTTAGATAAACTTAATGCCATTTATTTGTTAATTACCTAATTTAAAAACGTTTTAGATTAGATTATAAAAATAAGTAAGATTATGGTGATTGTGGTCGATATAAAGTACTTAAAAAACTATAAAGCCATTTAGACAAAAATCGATTGACTTTTGGACCATGGGTCATATGAACTTTTTGACTTGTTTTGACCTCCCCCTATTACCAGTTTCAATAAGACTACCATAACGTTTACACCCTGTATAAAATAATCATTCACTTGGGAGAAAGTTCAGATGACTGTGATGAAGTAATCCAATAATGCATAGTTTTATGGAAACAATTTTGAAAATTTATAATTCTTAATTTTGTATGAGTGCACCTTAATGTAGATTGTTAAATATTCAAGCAGCTCTACAGCGTGCAGCTGTATTTCCTTTACGGCAGACCTTTTTTGCCTGCGGACATTCGTCAGAAAATCTCTGATAAAAGAGCCGCTATTAAGCAGGCAAAAAGGTCTTGTTACCCTGATGACATTGGTAGGGCTGCAAATCTTGTCCATGAAGTGAGAAACGCACTGCACGAACTTCGCAACGAGCAATGGAGCGACTTTCTGGCGGGAATGCTTGATTCAAGTATTCCTCTCTGGAGGGTCGCAAAGTCACTCAGCAACGAAAAGCGAGAACAACTTCCACACATCCACGGTCCTGAAGGCATAGTCTTCAGAACGGAGGATAAGGTCGGGGTTTTCGCTGATTCCATGGAAAAACAGTTCTCTCCCAACTATGATCTCGATAATGACCTCGACGAGGAACAGCACATCGTACGATCCGTCAGGAGATATTTTAGGGCCAACGGCCATGATTCCAAAGAAGGTGGGTTCGATATTTCCTCAGGATTACCGTCCGATAAGTCTGCTGTCAGCTCCTTCTAAGCTCGCCAAAAAGGTGATTTATCGTCACCTTGAGAATTTTTCGTCAAATCACCATGTGAATCCTGACGTCCATTTCTGTTTTCGGTCCGAGCATAGCACCGAGCTACAGGCAGTCAGGCTGGTGATACAGAAAAAAGAGCATCCGGTAATAGTAATGTTTTACATAGATTTTCTAGGTACATGTTTGTTTAGGTTAGGACAACAAACAATTAGCTTTTGAATCGTATCAGTAAAGTGACTTCTCGTCCACAAGGTCTATTGCGAACTAATGATTTAGAGAGCATGGAAAATTACAATGTGAATTGTTTATAAACAACTTAACAGTTTTGGACTTACTTCATGTCGTCCTCAATTTGGCCTATCTCTCATTCCTAGGCACCAAAGTTATCGACTGGCTTAGTGCAGAGAACGGCTGAACTGGTGGTGAATCCAGATTCTGTTTGAGAATGTATGATGGCGGTGCAAGGGTGAGAAGGCGACGAGGTGAAAGATGATATTCTCAATTCTCTATGGAAGCGTGACCATTGTTGGAATTATGTTATCGGGGGCTATTGCTTACAGAAGCAGGTCACCTTTGGCGTTCATGAGACGCAACGTGACCGTCGTGCGATACGTCCAGGATGTGAAGGACTTCGGCACGAGGTACAAGTAGCCTGGGATGAGATACCTCACGAGCAAATGGATCATCTCATTAGGAGTATATCCGGACGAGTTTCGGGGTGTATGAGCATCGTGGAGGCGCAACAACTTATTAGCTTTTTACATTTACATCAACGGTTGGTGTTTTCTTAAATTTGAATTAATTATCTAACTAACCCTAAGATACATGTACATACGAGAATAAATTATTGTAATGCATTCATTATTATTTGGTGTTCTTTTTCTTATGTCACTTAGAATACATTTCAAATCCATATTCGTAAAAAGATGTAGATAACAGACTTTCGGAATACCATGAATGTGTATGTGCGTGTGTGTTCTTTTTTGAACAAAAGTATTTGGAATTCTTTTGTCGCTTCGATATTACCATATGAACAGTAGGAACTGCTTAAGCCTTGAAATTCTAATTCATCAATTTGAATGATACAGGGGCAGGCAAAATAAGTGAAAAGATGTTCTAAACGACACTGCATTTCCTCTTGAGGATGATGCTGGTGATGCTTCGCGAGTGTTTTCAGATCATGTTCCCGAAGTTTCCATCTCGCACCCCCCTTTATCTCGCGTTATTTTTTTACTAAAAAATGGCACATCGAAGTAAAACAATGCAAGAGGGATCATTTGTTTTAAATTGAACGGGGAATTCAAAAATAATTTTTATTTGGCAAAAAACTATTGGCGTACCATTTTTTTATTAAAAAAATATCGTAGTCAATACCCGTACGCACGCCACTGTTAAACCTAAAAATTATTTTTGCTTTGAAAAATATGCAACTCTACTAACTTACACTACGTACTAAATATCAGTGAAATATCTTGAGCGGTTCTGAAAATATTAATTAATTTCCATTTTTTTCCTAAAACTTTAACACCCCGAGCTTTTGTAAGGAAACATTTTTGGACCATAGTTTATAAAGCAAACTAACATTAATTTTTCATATAGATTCACACTCTTAAATATTCGCATATCTTTAAGGAACACCCTGTATATTTACAAAAGAAAGATTGGCAGTAATTTTCCATTTCCGTGGCTATTTTAAGCCATGCTTTTAACCTATTTTAATAGTCTGCGTTACTAAGATCATATAAACACGCCTTTCCCTTACTAAATCAGTTAATTTTTCTATAGAAGCGATCTTGCGACCTAGGCGTTCCACGAGTTCTTTGTATTTCTGGCGATAGAACGCAAGAACGCGAGCGTTCACACTGACGTGGAACGCTTGAGCGCTTCCTGTCTGCGCTAGCCCTTAAGAGAACGGGTGGTGTGCGCCTGGTGCATGCTTTGGGCGTAAACATGAACGCAGCCCAGTGGATATGCGCCTAAGCACGTTTCGGGTTGCCAGAGCTACAAATCCAATTAATGAAAACCAACAAAGGAATAATAATAACAAGATAACATTTCACCTTTGAGCTTCATATTACAAATCAACCGGCCACAAATCACGCATGATTGGGAGTATCGAAACCCTATTTCATCCATGAACAGGTGGCTGATTCGAGTTCATCACGCATCGACAACAAAGCCTCATGTATTATGCAATTGGACTATGTATGCACGCTGGCTCAATTTGATACCATTCTTTTAATTATTCACGTTATTATATCCAATTGAATTGAGAATATATTTGTCGATATACATATTTATCAGCATCAGAAGCATACAGATATTGGGGTTTGTATGGTTTTTATGTTTAAAATCGAATACGACTACTTAGGAAAGGTCTAGCCTAGGATCACAGAGAAAGAAGTTTAGCTGAGCAGAGAGAGATCTAGGCATAGCCGCTGCGTTAGGCAGCGGTCTGGTCGTTAGTGAAGACTTTATCATTAAAGAACTACAACGAAGGATTCCATACGTTAACGTTTGCAAGAGAGAAAATTGGCGTCAAGCAGGTTGACTTTGCACTTCCGATGCAACGCTGTCATCAGCACATAAAAGATTATATTCGCTGCTTAGAATTGCTTGGAGGTTACCGGTTCTGGAGATGCACAAATCTTTTGTAACGTCCTTATATATACTCTGAATGTATACGTATAATGTTGAATGACCCCGCAGCCGAATACACTCCTGTAAACGTCTAGGCATCGACAAAATGAGATGATCGATGTCTGGTTGTGGCAACTCATTAAAAGCGACTCGAACTTCATGGATTAGCTATAGCAGTGGCGGATGGTGCAAAGTGGATAGTCTCATTCCTATCATACCCATGTTCGATGGGATTTAAATCCGGTGAACGGGGTGGCCACGGCAAAACATGAACGCCTACTTCGTGAAGAAAGTAGTACGCCGAGCAATATGGGGACGTGGGTTGTCTTGATGAAAAAGGACGTGTAGACGATTCGGCAGTAAAGTGGTTTTTTTTTTATACTCCAACTACCACGACGGCCTACGGCCTAAGCACCCATTGGGTACCGTGGGGCTATAGGGGGATACAGGGGAAAGGGGGAACGCCACACGGACTCTGGCGAGGGAACACGTGTGCATGCAACATGCACACATTCTGGCTCCGCCTACGAGATTCGCCGGGTGGTACCTCCGCGTTCGACAGCCAGAGACCGTCTACCACCTACGGACAAGTAGGACATGATCAACATAACGCGCAGCAGTCTTATTGCCTTGAACAAAGAGAAGGGGTGATTGGCTACCATAGGCAATAGCCCACTAAACCATTACTCCAACAGTCGTGTGTACCTACACACAATCGCGATTCGTCGCTAAAAATGAGATTATAGCATTCTGCCTCCAAATATTACAGTTCTCTGCTCCAGTAACAAACGTTGACGACAGTGGTCCGCAGTCAGAGGAAGCACTAACCGTGGACGGTATGGAAGTCCAAAAGCTCCAATGCGGCGATATATACGTAGTGTACGCATAGTAACAGGTCTACCTTCTTCTCCAAACCATTAGTCAGCGATCTGACGCGCAGTAGCAAAACGGTCTCGTAGGGATAGTTATCTGAAGTGCCTATCTTGATGCTCTGAGGTACGCCTCGTGGACCAGTTGGTCTTTTTCGTGTTCCTCTACTTTCTTCTATCCACACACGGCAAACGTATTACCGTCATTGCAGTACCATTAACACGGCGGCCAATTTCACGATAGGATAAACTAACATATCGACAGGAAATAATTCTGCCCCTATGAAAGTAGCTAACGTGGTGATAATTTGGATGCTTTCGAACTCGATGCATTTTGTTATGCTTAACACTAGTAAATGAAAGGGCAATAACTAAAAATATCTGTAGTACTCAGATCTCAGCAACGTCTTTCTTCACAAAAACTAAGAGATAACATTTTAGCAAAGGTAATCAAAATGTTGACATTGTTTCCATAGCATGCTTTAAATATAGTCATTATGTTGCCAAAAAAAGCTGAGGAAATTATTCTTTCTGGATGTAACACTTCTGATGTCACCGATTATATTTTGAACGTCTCTTCCTGGAACCCTATATAAATTATTCATTATAAATGTATGAAATTCCCACCGTACGGCCCATGCATTACAAAGAGAATACTTGCAGTAAAAATCTGATTGTTTAACATGATTATGCAGATTCAATTTCGAATAGAAAGACCATACCCATATATATATACAGGGTGACTTCGAAGTTGAGTCATTTATTTTAACAGTGAGTAGATCTGATCAAAAGAAATGTTTTTTTCCTTTACCATTTTTCTGGTAAAATTAAAGTAACAAAGTTATAGCCCTTTGGAAGTTTGAGTACCGCCCTGTCTCAATAATGATATTATGTTCTCGTGTTTGGCAACAACAGATATAATCCGCCTTATCCGTTCATCGCATCGGAAACAAAAAAGCGAAAGAATTTGGAACGATCTTTTTACAATTATTTTCTTCAGTTGTATACAGTCAGTATCAGTCGGTAGTCGGTAACGCGTAAGTGAATAATCGTGTCTGTTGCGAGGCTCAAATCAAAAATGGCACATGTTTACGAAAATGCTGAACTTGTGGACATGGTTCTTATTTACGGGGAGTCTTTACAAAATGCTGCCGCGGCATCACGGATCTATGCGGATCGGTTTCCCAATCGAGTGCAACCAACTCCTCGTGCCTTTGTTAATGTAGTGCAAAGAGCTCGTGAATCAGGTGACTTAAGACCTCACAGAGGAGATCATGCCGGTGCTCCAAGACCACACGATCAAATAGAACTAGAAGAACAAATTTCAGAATTAGTAGGTGATGATCCAACAGTAAGCACCCGACAAATTTCAACTCAATTGGCGATTAGTCAGTATAAAACTTGGAAAACTCTACGTGAAAATCAGTTCTATCCGTTTCACATACAAAAAGTGCAGGCCTTACAACCGGAAGATCATGAACAAAGGGTTGACTTTTGCAATTGGCTTTTAAATAAACATCAAAATGATGACAATTTTTTAAATCAAATTTTAGTGAGTGATGAAGCCCTCTTTACTAGAAACGGAATTATTAATTCACGTAATTCTCACGTTTGGGCTATTGAAAATCCCCATGAAATAAGGGAAACCAATTTTCAACAGCGATTTGAACCAATCAACCTGTGGGCGGGAATTGTTAATGGAATTTTAGTGGGGCCTTTTGAATTACCAAATCGCTTAACTGGTGAAAATTATTTTGATTTCTTGCAACACAATTTGCCTGGTTTACTGGAAGATGTGCCTTTAAATATTAGACAAAACATGTGGTTTTTACAAGATGGGGCACCACCCCATTATGCAAGAAATGTGCGTGAATTTTTAAATAGACAATTTAAATATCGTTGGATCGGCCGTGGCGGTTTTGTACCTTGGCCGCCAAGGTCTCCGGACTTAAATCCTTTAGACTTTTGTTTGTGGGGTTGGCTAAAAACTCTAGTGTATAAAACACCGGTTAATACACGCGAAGAATTACGTGCTCGAATTGAGGAAATGAGTACAGTGATCAGAAATCAACCAGTGATTTTATTGCGTGCTTGTAAAGAGACATGGCTAAGACGCGCCCAGCTGTGCGTCGAGCAAAACGGAAATCATTTCGAACAGTTTTTGTGACATGCTTTTGGGCGCACAGGTCCGCACTGAAATACTTGTCGGGAGGATACTTTATAAAACAAGGTAAAAAATTTTTTTTTATTTTTTTTTATTTTTACACACATATTTTGGTGTATCTTCCTTCTACAATCATTATCTGAAAATTAATGACTCAACTTCAAAGTCACCCTGTATAAAGCAAGCTAGTATACCAATATGTGAAAAATGAGAGGGACGTTTCCACCTCAAAAATTCTGGGTTACGCAAAAACAAAAACTTTATTTTACATAATCTGCCGTACAGTGTGTTATGCCTGTGGAATGCAGAACTGCCCGTCTCGATCGACAGCTATGTCAAGTGGTCCCCACCTGCCGTCTAACTGCAACATCTTGAAAAAGATTCACTGGAACCTGAAAATGTGCAGCTAAGAGTAGACAGAACGGGTAAACTTAGCAAACTAAAATTCAGGGATGGTGAATCGGACGCATAAATTTAATTTAATAAATTTAATAAAGTAGTATAAAAATAACAGGAGAGAGTCCCAAGACGGCAGCGGGACGCCTTGTAACATTTTTTTTAAGTGGAATCGGAGATCACGCCTTGTGGATACTTTATAACTCTGAAATTAATATAAAATCAACTTTTAAAATAGCGAACTGAGAAGCTGTCAATGCTGAGCGTTTTTATACCTTGAATCAGTTATGACTAGACAACTAAATAGTCATCAAAAAATATGTTACATCAATCGTATACCTTTGTAAGGATATGTCTGAATTTGCAATAAAATATGTATGTACAGGGTTTGTCCGGAAAGTAATAGGACTGAGTCGGTTTAAAAAAATTGATTGAGCCAATCGTTACAATTCTATAAAAACTTTCAAAATAGGCTCCTTCTGCGTCGATGCAGCGCTGCCAGCGCGATTTCCAAGCATTGAAGGCGTCACGGAAGGCATTCTCCGGAATAGCCTTGAGAGCCGCGGTGCATGCTGCTTGGATCCCCTCTGTCGTCTTAAGATGCTTGCCTTTCATTGGCCTTTTCAGGCGAGGAAACAAAAAAATTCCGGGGGGGCACATCTGGGCTGTAGGGCGGCTGCGGAATCGTTGGGATGCCGGCCTTGGTCAGGTAGCTGTTCACAAGAAAGGCGGTGTCGTGGTGCAACTTCCAGTGCGATGTCTTGTCGACCCGACTGACCCTTCGTTCGAGTCTCCTGATCACTTCCACGTAAAACTTGGCGTTGACGGTTTGTCCAGGAGGAATAAATTCATGGTGGACGATGCCTTTGATGTCAAAAAAGACAATGAGCATCGTTTTCACTTTGGATTTGCTCATTCTTCCCTTTTTTGGGCGAGGAGACGCCGTCGCGTGCCACTCGGAAGATTGCCTCTTTGTCTCGGGATCATACTCAAAGATCCACGACTCGTCACCTGTGATTACGTTACTCAAAATTTGGGGGTCACTTTCACACATGTTCAAATTTTCTTGACACACTTCCACTCGCCGCAATTTCTGGTCGTCAGTGAGCACTTTTGGGACCACCTTCGCGCACACCTTGCGCATGTTCAAATGCTGTGTCACAATGTCATGAACCACAGATTTTGGTAAATTTAACATCTGGGCAATTAAACGAATACTTAGTCGACGGTCTGAGTTCAAAACTTTTCGAAGTACGATCTTCATCAGCGACCTCTTCCCGGCCCTCCAAAAAGGCCTGGTGCCACCGAAACACACCACTTCTTGCTAAAGCAACTCCTGGGTAAGCTTGCTTGATCATATCAAATGTCTCTGTCGCAGATTTACCGAGTTTCACACAGAATTTAACCGCGTACCTCTGCTCTAACGAACGCTGCATTTTCGGCTTGCCCCACTCACAGAAACACGTCGCGCGAAAATGCCTGTCCTGACTGTCCAAGTGCTCGGAGACAACTGACCCGCCGCTCATTCGTTAGCTAGCAACGCCCTCTACCGAATCCAGTCGGTGTGTGCACGCTCCGAAGTACAGTCATGGCGGAAGGAAATGAGTCCCATTACTTTCCGGACAAACCCTGTATATGAGACATTCAAATTAAAAGATGATTAACTTTGAATACTTTCAAGTCGAATGTTCGATGTTTTATTACTTTTTCGGATAGAGCCTTCCAAGAAAAGAAGATTTATGTACCACACTATAGCGTTTTGGCAATTGATTGTTGAATTATAAGCTACTGAATGTACAAAAAAACTCAGCTTTGACAGCCTGGCAGCTTGCCATTTTGGAAGGTATGATTTTATATTTTAGGGTTATCAAGCTTTAAAATGAGGTATCACGCGACATCCCATTCCATTTGAAGACATGTTCCAAAATGGTGCCCAACCACCATCCCTGCCACTTCGATGATAAATATAATATTCACGCATTAATTTCATTACCGTTCAAAAATTAGAATTGAAGGACATTTCTGAAAAGCATTGTATATACCTTTTGCTCCTGCCGGTACTTGCATAAGTGACGGCTTTTTTGCTAACCATATTATAAATCTAAATTTCATAAGGCAACAACACAATGCGGAGGTGCCACAATAAAGAATGGATTCCTCGAAAGGTAATTTGCAATTTTCTTTTCGGAGCTTGAGAATGTTTCTGACAGGTCAATGGCATCGTTAAGTTACCAGGTAAAATTTTCCCATGGTATTGGAGTCCGGTTAACGATAAATACCCTGCGTTTTCAAATTTCAATTCTTTTATTATCATTCCTGTACCAAATCTTTAAGCGGACCCAAGTAAATTTTCTGGATATATAAAATCAACTTTCTTTTTTACCAAGGAAACTAGAAGAATTTGATCCTAGCCTCAATTTTGTGATTTTAATAGCATTTCCTGTATACAAGTACTCATACAATTTACTGAATTGTTCTTATAAGGATGTCATAAGTCGAAAAAGTTGACTTGTGCATTTTTAGCTACTTGCCAGATGGAATATCAAACAATGTACCAAAAATTGTGAAAACAACACCGACTGCCCAATTATCAAGAAAAGATCAATCGTTATTGATGTTAATCTGTAATGTAAATCATAAACATCTGCTAGTCGTTCGTGAATATTACAGTTGGCATCATATTCCCATTCAATTTGCAACAATGAAACTATCCTACAAAGTTGCAAACTGTTTTATGTGAGTTGGGTTTTACGAGCGTTGCCGTACTCCGCCTCGTATTTTCTATTGCAGAAGGGAGTAACTGAACGGTCAAGGTCTCGATAAAGTATAGAGAACAGTTTTATTTTTGAAATGCGGATACTACTGACTGAACTTCGATATTGGTCATGTGTTTTCTAGACATTTAGGTGAACTAGTTCAATAGATCGCGTCCAGGAACTAGTTTGAGAACGAACTATTTTACACAAGAATAATGTCAGTGAAAGCGTCGGCTCCGATCGGCGGAGTTAAGCAGTGTAAAGCGCGGTTAGTATTTTAATGGATAACCGCTTCGGAGCATCCCGTATTATTGTTTTTTTTTGGTATTATATTTTTTTATCAAGATGGATGTTTCAAACTTAAATGCTCCACGTAAATTTACGCTCACGTAGTAGATATATATATATATATATATATATATATGTGAAAAATTAAAGCTTCCGCCTTTTGTTGGGTACTTCGACAAAATTTAAGCAAAGAGGACTCTTTATACTTTTTTTAATTCTCTCTAGCTTTCAATGGACTTTGCCATCATCATCAGGAGCTGCAATTACAATGATAACAGTAGCAACAAAAGTGTAAAATGAATTTAAATTGACTCAACTTACAGTAGTATGTGAGGATGTTGCTAATTGTTGTTTACGTATAGGATGAGGGAAACGTCCAGTAACATGGTGAGAGCTGGATAGATGGTACAATGGTCAAAATTATATAAAATATGACAAGAACAAGTTAAAAACAGATTAAAAATTATTTAAAAAAACATTAGAGCATTACATCGTGAAGCCACTTGATGATTGCACAAATTGGTGGTCATGGAATAATGAGTGAGATGAAACCCTTTGACAGAAGGCCGAAGGATGTCAATGTCTGTGTTGAAAGATGGAACGAATTGTGGGCGTGTGCTAAAAGTTGCCAAATCACTTCAGATGATGTGATTTTCAGAAGTTTATGTAAGAATTTGTTAAACCGACCAGAGGCAGTTGAATAAACTATATTTTAATTAATGGGAATTTAAATTAACAATTATTAATAAATCGTGAGAAGAGAATTATTATATTTTGAGTGGAATGAAATTTACTGGTGGAATCGGCCAAAACACAGATTCTAATTATGGTTGTGAAGAGTCGAAATTTGGGGAGATATGTAAGTTCTCCAATTTTTCGCAGTTTAGCAAATATGAGTAAATGACACTCAGTTGTTTAACATCTGTCTTTTTGTTGATATAGTTGTTATTCATGAAGATGTGGGACATTTCCAGGAATAAACGTTTGGAAAGGTGTTTTTCTTTATCAAGAACTTTGATACTTGTGTAATTCATAGAATGCCCTGTTGTGTTAACATGAGATGCTAGAGCGCATCTTTCAGGATGAAGCCTAGCATCACTTTTGTGTGATGTAATCCTTCCTTTAAGAGATCTGGAGGTCTGACCTATGTATATTTGGTTGCAGTTGTTGCAATTGATGGAGTAGACTGTGTTGGTTAAGCCAAGCAGCGGGACTTTATCTTTCATTTTTGAAAAAATGCAGTTTATAGTGAGGACAGATTTGCAAGCAATTCGAAGGAAGGATTACATCACACAAAAGTGATGCTAGGCTTCATCCTGAAAGATGCGCTCTAGCATCTCATGTTAACACAACAGGGCATTCTATGAATTACACAAGTATCAAAGTTCTTGATAAAGAAAAATACCTTTCCAAACGTTTATTCCTGGAAATGTCCCACATCTTCATGAATAACAACTGTATCAACAAAAAGACAGATGTTAAACAACTGAGTGTCATTTACTCATATTTGCTAAACTGCGAAAAATTGGAGAACTTACATATCTCCACAAATTTCGACTCTTCACAACCATAATTAGAATCTGTGTTTTGGCCGATTCCACCAGTAAATTTCATTCCACTCAAAATATAATAATTCTCTTCTCACGATTTATTAATAATTGTTCATTTAAATTCCCATTAATTAAAATATAGTTTATTCAACTGCCTCTGGTCGGTTTAACAAATTCTTACATAAAATTCTGAAAATCACATCATCTGAAGTGATTTGGCAACTTTTAGCACACGCCCACAATTCGTTCCATCTTTCAACACAGACATTGACATCCTTCGGCCTTCTGTCAAAGGGTTTCATCTCACTCATTATTTTCATCTCACTCATTATTCCATGACCACCAATTTGTGCAATCATCAAGTGGCTTCA